CTCTTTCTATAAGGCTCTAAGCCACTTCTGAATAGTTCACGCAAACGGCAGAACTCAACCCTGCAAGCCTTCGTTAGCCAGGTTAACCCTAATTGATTATATACGTCCTCCCCACTCAAGTCAAGTGGGAACAGACACAGATTGGTAGGACTAGATCCTTTCCGTTCCACACATGGGCCAAGCTCATTACTGTGGGCTGACCATTAAATTAATTAATTTCAGTAAGGCTTATCTGCACCAGGTCTACAGGACAGGGAACCAAAAATATGCTTCACTAAGAAATTTAAGACTTTGTAGTTGACCTTATGCTGATTTTACTGTTAGCCTTACAGTAAGAGTGTTTTTTGTTTTGTTTTTTCTCTCTCGGTACACAGAATACAGAAATGGGCTTTGTGTCCACATCTAGAGTGGACGAAATCAGTCCGCCAGCAAAATTATGTGGTCATCTTCTACTTAAAGAGTTTACAATTTATTCTAAAAATGCTTAAGCAAAGCAGTTGTCATTCTTCCTACTAATTAGACTATAGAAGTTGAGTGCTGAAAACAAATGGCTAGAAAAAAAGTGAACCTTTAGTGCCTTATAAATGCAGACTATGTTGAACAAATTAGTAAAATTAATATCTATGCTCTGTAAAGTGATTTTGTTAATAATGCAAAAGCAAGTCTATCATAACAGCTTTAAATATTTTGTTCAAAAGTTTTTGAAATGCTAGAAATCTGGCAACCTATTTTTTATTTTTAGTCAAACACTTTATTGATACAGACATTTAAGCAACTGCTATAAATGAGTGATCAAATGAATATTAAAATCCCATTTCATGGCTCCTCCTCCAACGCCAGCAGGATGCTCGAAAGCTTTTAATATTGATTAGCAAGTTGAAATCCATTTTCAGTGTGCTTTATTCTATGAAAGTATTTTTGCTAAGTTATACTGAAATAAAGATCAAAAACAGATGCACCAGAGTGAAGTTTAAATTTATTTTTTTTTGCTTTGATTATATATCAAAATTGTGCTGAGAATATAGTGTAATACTCTTTCCTTGACTATGTGTTATCAGGCATGCTAGTTTTTTCTTTTTTTTCCACTGTGCTACAGTATCTTTGTGGAAGATTTTTAATAAATTTTGGTAAAGTTCAAGTTCAGTGTACACCACTAGCCTAGGTTGCAGTATGCATTATCTTTACGGATTCAGTATAACATTTTTGCAAGTTTAAATGGTAAATTTGAGTATGCACAAGTCGCGTAAGTCAAAACTTGACGTAGCTTGTAAATCAAACTTTAAATAAACTTCATTGTCGTTGTGGAAAAGTATAGTTCACTTTTCATATTCAATGAAAATATTAAGATAACTAGAGATTTTGGCAGAAATAAATACAAAATGCAGCTTTATAATTCTTGAGGAAGACAATTTTAACATTTCTGTTCCTTATGTGCTACGTAAACATTAAAATTGAAGCATTAGTTTTTCCCCCTCCCCCAGAAACATGCATTGGCATTGTACCTCTCCTGGGCTAACACTTGAAATAATGCAGCAATGCTCTTTTCTTTCCAGGGTGCACAGTAATTTAAATTTGATTCCAATTTAAGCCTCCCCTATACCAGATTCCCTTCGCAATGATCACTGAAATGCAAAGACCTACTTGGATTATAGGGTTTTGTTCAATGCCACAAATATATATATTTTTTTCATTAAGACATAAATACTATGAAGTCACATGAACATAACAGCAATCCCTTGCATTAAAGCAGAACTACAAGCCAGATTCTCACTACAAGCAAAAGCCTGAAATATTTATACCCAGGCAGGAACCCTCCGACTTCACTGCTCAAGTAAGGAACAGAGAAGACAGGACGGGGGCCATGAACTTTATGAAGTAAAAAGGCAAAAAGAAAAGAAAAAAACACTTAATATACTAAAATGCTAGTTCTGAAAAACGTTTTTAGCTATTTTACGGCCAATTACATCAATTTGAAAAGATCAGAGCCTGACACAAGGGGAAACCCATTTTGAGAACCAGATATACACCCTCACTTCAATTCAGGTCAAAATTCAAACCATGCATTGATATACCAAACCCACAAGAACAAAACGTGGGAAGGCTAACTTAACACAATAAAATACAATCTTTTAAACAAAAGACACCAGACAGGAATAGAAGACAAAGGGAGGAGTATGACCACTGAAGTTTAACTTCCCCAATAGTCTGTTTAAAATGTTGTAATCAAGTATGAGCAACATATTGAGACAGAAAAGTGTTAATTTGGATGTTTAGAGGTCCGGCAACAATTTTCTTTAGAGCAAGTTTTAATCCTTTTGATTTTCCTCTTTCTTGAGAAGCAAATGTTCTTCATTGGGGTACAGCATGGCTCAGATGCAACAGAAGATGACTTGCCAGTTAGAATTGACATCTAGGATTGTCCAAGACAAGGGTCAATAAAAGCAACACATAATACCCCAATAATGTAGCTAGTAATTTCCCCCAAAGTTAAGATTTTCTTTATATTTCTTTTTAAAGAGCCTTTATTACAAGGCATGAGAATTCTAAGGCAAATTGTTCATCATGGCAGAACATCAAATCAAAATGTCAGTGACAGAATTGAGCAGAACATGGAGAGCAGGGTTGTGTATCTGCAGCAAGAGTTTAGCCTACTGTGCCACAGCACCTAATTTATATTTCTCATCCCTAGACAAAAATTAGTTCAAATTAGACTAAGATACTGAAGATTAAAACCACTTCCCTAGGTGCTTGTACACTGAATAAGACAATACGGCTGGATCCTAACAGAACAGCCTCTAGAGGTACTCCACAATACATGATAAAAAGAAATAAAATTAACAGCATTATAGGCTCTGCTTCCTCCTCCACATTAGAGGATTATATTTAAACTAGATATCCATAAATGTTTGGGTACATTTCAACACTTTTTAGAAGAAAAAAAAGTTTCAAAATTAGATGCTGTTGTTAAGCTGCTGAACACCAATTAAAACAGAGAGTGCCCTTTGGGCTATCTGCAATTTCTCCTACTTTTCAGTCTGATGTCCACAGTGCTACATGTTGGAAAGCACAAGAAATTTTGCATGAATTTGATCACTCACATAGGCAGTTATATTTTGAAAACCAATATTTTTTCGCAAGAATTACCAATGAAATAATGTTTTAGGACACAATTGAATTTGAAATAGGTAATGTTTTGAATAGTTTTTTGAGTTTTATTGAAATCTTACATGAACAAGAAATTGGAAATACAATCACATCAAGGAACAAATTGCCACGGCTTTGACGTTTTAAGCCAAACAAATTTTGTAGGGCAGATTTTCAAAAAGGTGTGAAGTTATAACAATTTAAAAACACAGTTAACCTACTTCTAGGAATGCAAAACATACAATCATGTTATTTTCAATACAAGAAAACTTAATTTGTTGTAATTTCTTAAAACTACTAAGACAAAGCACTAGCTTTTACTTTTATGTACAGCATACTCCTATGTAGTCTATCCCAAATCCAAAAAAAAAAAAAACAAAAAAACAAAAAAACCAAAAAACCTGTCCAAAACCAGAGTTCTGCAAAAATCATGATTGAACAGATTCCTGCTTTTAAACTGCTAAAATGAAGCCTAAAATGATAAAAGCATCGAAACCCCATATGGAGTTCAGGAATTCTGCAAGCCCAGTAATGTCCAAGTGCGTTTATGAAAAAGAAAACTAAGAGACTCGAGTATATACACAATAAGAGTGATTCTTCAGCCCAATACAAATGGCAGCCAATCGCTACTGAAGGATGAAACATTAAGCCAATTTTGTTTTGAAGAATGTAGAGCTATAGCCAATTCTATGTTGCCAATATTCTCAATCCCTCCTCACTTGTCTACTTCCACTGTTGCCCATAAGTATCCTGATAAAATTCCTGGTTGTCATTATTGTAACCATAGTTACCGGCATAGTCACCACCTTGCTGGAGCGGCTGTTGAGCGATGGGTTGGGAGCCCCAGTTCTGCTGGTTGTTGGTCTGACGGCGCTTGGAATCAGGCTGGTTGTACCCATCTGCCTTTCTCTTGCCTCCTACGTTGCCCCCACGGTTGCCCCTGGCTCCACGAGCACCACGTCCTCTCTGCTGCTGCGCGGGACCCCCTCTCCCACCCCTGGCTCCTCTCGGAGGGCCCATGGGTGCCCCCCTCTGCGAATAGCCGGCTCTACCTCGGGGTGGTGGTGCTCCCCGCCCCCTAGGTGGTGGAGGAGCTCCTCTCCCACCCCTTCCTCCTCCTCCTCTTCCTCTTATAGCATAGCCATCATCATAGCCGTAATAGGGATCTTCATAGCCACCACGGTAGTCATGATAGTCATAACCATAATAATCATCGTAATAATCTTCATAGCCATAGTAATCGGGGGGATAGCCATAGCCACCTCTCCCTCCACGGCCTCGGCCTCTAATAGGAGGTGGCATGCGAGGCGGAGGGTAGTAATAATAGTCTTCATACCTATTAAGAAAAAGAAACATGAATTAATTCTTCTTCTGAAGTCTCCCAAAAAAAAAAAAAATGACATTTTTTCCCCTGTGTTTATTAGCAAGACACGCTCTGGAGACAAGCGATTCAGACTCTTTGAAGCTAGCTCAGATTTTGCAGCAGAATTCAGTATTAAAGCAGTGCAAAGCATCAACACTCACGCAGTGCTTCTGGAGGCTTGTCTGGCAGCCTGACGTTCCTTCCTTTTCTTATCGGGTGGTTTTGCTAACACTATTTCAATTTCTTCCCCTTCTATCTCTTTTCCATTCATTTCATTCATAGCCTGCACAAAAATTAGAAGAGAAACATCTAAAAATTCATTTAACAGGAAAATAAGACTTACTGGAAGAAAGCAGCCAGGCTGATGCAAATTAAACCGTTTTCTATGCTTTCTTTTTGTGCTGCTTGAATAGAATTTGATATATCGTTCTTTCAAGTCTTTCTATATGCATCAGCTACACTGCAGCAGGACTTTTATTTTACTTTATGATGCAAAGAAAAAAATTACATATGTAAGTTGGATTAACACACACTTATCCAAGAACCATTGAATAAAAAGAGAGAGAAAATGTAAGCAGCAGTTCTCCTTACCCACTGACACAAAAACTCAGCTTAGTAGAAAGCACATACAAGAAAAGGAATACTTTTTTGTTGGGGAGAAGGGGTGATATTTGAGGCTGAGAAAAACACTACTGAAACTTGGTAGTCTTATCAAATGAGGCAACAATCTTCCCAAAAAGTAATGTGAATGTGAAATTTGTAGCTATCAAACACATACTCAAATAGAACTTAATACAGGATGCACATGCATCAAGTTCAGAACTCCAGGTGGAATCCAGGTTGAACTTGGGTTATCTACTTTGTATTTACTATTTCTGAGTACCAGTATATGCACCAACAAGGACTTCACTGCTATTTGCCTCCCCAAACTATTAAAGATCATGGATACTTTATTCCAAAGGATGTATGAAAATAAGCAGCCTCTGCAAACAATGAGCCAGTTGTTTTCCATCCATTAATCTCTTAATAATGTCATCTAAAAAATGTATAAACTAAGTGGCCATAAATCAAATGGGTAATATTCCAGTTTGTTCCAGAGAAGATTATTAGAGATGCTCTAGTACTGATTTAGGCCAATGACTGTTCAGTTCAGTGTCAGAATTTAGAGTAAAGGTCTACTGAGAAGTTCTGGGGAAAGGGAATAAGGCGATTTTGAGACATACTACATTAAAACATGTCAGTAAATAAATGTCACTGACTTACCGTTTCAGGGAACATTCAGGCTTCCTTACCCTCTCTTGGACAGGGTCCAAGACTATCCCAACTGGCTTCTTAACTTCATTAAATATGAGTGATATTCATGCTAAAGCCATATTCATAAAGCATTCTGAAAAGACTTGAAGATACGTAACACCTCCCTCCCACCCCCACAAAAATCTGAGTAGGTATTTAAAAAACAAGAGGCAGCAATTTCTTGAAAGTTAAATTCAAATCTCCTGAAATACAAACAGTAGAGACTAATGACTTTCCTAACTGCTCTCAGATACAACGATAATTTAGAGCTCCCTTGAAACTCAAAATAAGCATCTTCAGTGTTTAGGAATCTGCTTAAATGAAATGCTCTAGGGAGCATATATGGTTAAAGATATAGGCACTGAAGGAGTTGGTAGCATCAGTCCTCTCCCTCTTAGGTGTTACTTCTTGAACCACCTTGCAAATTCCATTCACTATTTTGGCATCCTAAAGCTACACAAAACCTTTAAATAGGTATCTTTGAGACACAAGTGATACCTTTTGTCAGCGCTTCCTTAGAAAAACTGTCTAGGTGGATTTTTTCCTCTCTTCTCTAGACTCTCCTGCATTGGTCTAGACCTCTTTTCCAGTCTAATTTTTGCTACAGTTTTGTCCTTTGAAAGTCTCACATCCCCCCAACCTACTGAAATCACAGGAACAAAATCCTCACGATTAAAATTCTTGCAATGGGATATGCTCTACAGATTGTCTCATCAGGCTACATGATGCAAGAAAATTCTTTAAAAAAAATGTAGAAAACAAACTTCTCGCATTTGATTCAGCTAGGGAAAATAAAAATAATAATCAACTTACCTTCACTGCTGCACCTCTGTCCTCAAAATGAACAAAAGCATAATCCTTCAACTTCTTCACTCTTTCCAGCTTTCCAAATTCAGAAAAGGATTTCTCAAGAATTTCTTCTGTCACAGTGGTGGCCAAGTTTCTTACAAATAAAACTTTCACCTATTGAAAGATTAGGATGAAAGTTGCAAACTTTAAAAATCACATCTCAAAGCAAATGTACCTTAACTAAGATGATGTTATCACTCTCTCGTATACATTCACGAGTCTTGGTTAATCCTGTAAATTATGTGCTTGCTTCCAGAAAAGATAGCCTTGTTGTTATCTGCATGAAATTTCTACTTCTGTCCTTCCACACCTCCTCTCCATGATCAGCAGCACATCCAACACTGACCTTCTGCTTCTGAGATGCTGCAAGTCACAGTGGAATTTTGGTAAGACTTCAAGAGCAGCAAAGAGTTATCTCAAAACACTGGAATAAAGAGCATAGTGTCATTCCCTGTGCTGCACTTCAAGTCACCTCATTCTGGAAAGTGCTTTTTCAAAATATCCATCTATTATTATTCAGTAACAGCAGAAGCAGAATGCTAAGGAGAGACTTGTGTACCACTCCAGCAGGATAATTCTGTATCCTATTCATTTCGATAGGAATAGTCAGTTAGAACAGCATGCTCCTGATGTGTTCCACAGTCAACTGATTTCCAAGACTCTGACCATGCCAGAGACTACAGTGCTGACTATGAAAAAAATCCTCAAACCACATTCAGCTCCCTCAAAGCTCATATTGCTTCCAAAACACAGCAGCATCCAGAGAAGTTCCTAATTACCTTTGCCATGACTTCTGGATCAGGTTCCTCTACTGGGTCAGCCCACTCCACTGTCACAACATTGCCCCAGACTTTTACTTTCCCGCTCATGAGGCGGCGGCGAGCTTGTGCTGCTGACTTGTGATCCTCGTATTCCAAGAAGCAGAAGCCCCGGTTCTTCTTTTTATCGTCAGGTTGGTGATAGAGGATTACATCCACCAAACCCTCTGAAAAACATGTCTTTAGTATTGAGCTTAAAGAGCAAAACAAAAACAAACAAAACAAAAAAACCTACTCTACAAAGTAAAAATAGTGATTTTAACAGACAGCCTCCAAACTTAATATCTGAAGTAAAAGAAGAAAAAGAGATAGTGTGAGAAATGAAGTAAACAACCAAAAAATGGATGTGCTGTACGTGGATGTCCAATTTACCTACAAACGGGTTAACTAGAAGGCAAAATTCTCCAAAACACTTACCTCAAACCTAGGCCCTGCAAGACATCAACACAAACAGTTCACACAGTTCAGTGTGCTATACATTCTTATACAATTTTTGCTTTTGTGAAAAGCAGCCAGCACTACTACAGGGTATCTCCTCTGTCTCCAGGGGAAGCTGGAGAGTTTCTTCCACATCTCTCCAAAAAGAGGAGAGATAAGGAAATTAATATTCACCTTCTGTTTTCATCACTTTCCTGCAGTACTTATAATTAGCAATCCTAAAAAAGAAGCAATAGATTAAAACCTTCCTACAGAAAGAAGAACAGGTGATCCAAGATTTGAACCTCTATTATAAAACAGAAGCATCTTTCCAGCAATGAGCTGTTCCTCCCTACATGCTGCATATACTGGGGAACTGTAAAATTCCCTCTAGCCTGATTCAATATTGCCTCTCATAGGATTACTTTGCACTGCTTCCCTGTCATTCTTCAACCTACTATTTTTGAGGCTCCTCAAAAGCTTCTCAGACAAGAATATTGTAGATCTGATGAAAAATAGAGATCCTTAGACATTAAACTAGAACATATAACAGAACTAAGACTTCCACACCTTTTCCAAGTGAATTCACGCCACTTCCAATTGCAATCCTGCAACATCAAGTTTCACAAGTACCAGACAAAGCAAAATCAGAACGTACACTAGTCCCTTCACACACCAGCACAAAACAAGCTTGAAATATAAAACTTCTACCACCAATAAACTTGAAATAATTTTACATGATATCAGAAAGCAGCTGTCATTCAGTTAAAACTACAAAACAGACCAATATGGTATTTTGGAATCAGTGTAACAAACTTGTTAGAAGGCTCTTTACCTGTGACTTTACTGAACTCTTCCAATATGTTTTCCTTCGTCTTGTTCTTTGGAATTGATCCAACAAATAGCCTGTTGTTTGCCACAGAGATGCATACCCCAAGGTGCTTCCCAGGACGAATTTCATAGTTGTCACACTGCAAAAACAAGCAGCCATTCATTAAAATATGGTTGAAAAGAACCCCAAAAATCAGAAAGTCAGCTATTCCCTTCAGACTAACATTTATACATTGATATTGAATAAAAATGGCAAAAGAATTATTAAAACAGCATTCTGGTCTGCATTGAATTAGAAGAATGTTGGCGAGTTTAAGTTTTCCACTGAAAGCTTTGAATATTCTGTTGAAAAGGAAGCTGTAGAAATAAACTGATGTACAAGGAACAGGCCTACCTACAGGAACAGATACAAGCTGTAGGGGCTAGACTAATTCAAATACTGTTCATCTCACACTTGAAAGGTACTTCTAGACAAAAAGATGGCTTCTTCTTCTATTAAGTGCTCACTGAGCACGGCTGCTCTTACTAACACACAAATGCACAGCATCCCAGATACTGCAGCTCCACTTCTTCCAGTGTCTTTCTTTGAGAGCTTCTTAACCCAAAATACACTTGCTCAGTGACAGTCACAAGCCTAAATTACAGCATCCTTCCTGGTTTCTTCCCCTCTCACTCCCACAGCAAAGATTTTATTTCTTTTTGGCCCACGTGAATGGTATTTCTCTATTGCTTTAAATTTCTGTAAAATAAGTAAATAGATAATAAATGCTGTCATTTAGCCCATTTCTTCATATTATGCTGCTAGCCACAGTTATACTGTTCTGCAGACAACATTCCTTGATAGTCCTTTAAAGACCAGAGAATCCAACCTTTTTCTTTAAAGGGTTTCTAGAAGTCAAGACAAAGCTCATTATCTTTGGCTGGGGTAGGACTTTCAAACAGGCATAAGTCTGTTCATCAGCCAGTTCCTGAAAATCCACCCAAATTTTAAAGAATTTCCAAGCCATGATTAACCTAGCTGAGACAGTCATACATGTGACAGAGCAATTCCTTGAACAACTTTCATGTTCGTTAAGAATTAAAACAAAATACCACAACCTAGCAAACAAGATCACTTAAGACAAAAGCCTTTCAGAATTTTGCCTCAGATAACAGTGCTTCATAACATAGTGAGTTTTGTGGTTTAGCAACACGAAGCTAATCAGAATTTGCCTTTCAAAGTAGATATTTCCCCTTCAAAAGGGAAGGCAGCACAGTATCCCTCATTACTCTTCAAACACTAAAACCCAAAAGCAATCAATTTCAAAAACAGATTTCATGTGAGTTGAAAGAGATACTCAAACAGATCTTAATAAAAAGTATAAAACAAAAACCTAACCTCCTAAATACACAAAAAATATACAAATACTAAATACCTAACTAAATACACGAATCCTACTCTAAAAGCCTAATACAGCCACAATGATCTGTAGACACTTGAAATATTTGAGGGAAATGAACACCAATACATTTATTTGCACTGACTCCTTTTGAAATCTTTACAGTGGGCTAGCACTATTCTTAAATTTCACCATTACCTCTTTTCAGCCTGAAAGATGTTTGGTTTGCTCTGCATGCTTGCAGACCAAGTCAGGTTTGCATTTAAGCTAACTGCATTGCAGCCTTTGGAAAGAACCAAAGCCCGCTGTCAGCTACAAAAACTGAAGGCATCCGTCAAATTTGATTTTCATGTCCATTTTGAGTCTGTTAATGACTGCTTTCATGAAACACTTCATTACCTAACAGATGTTCAACATGCTCACTGTTCACAACATCTTGCCCTATCTAAAAATTAGTTACTTACCAGTTTGACTGCTTCCTGCGCTGCATCTTTACTGCAAAAGGTAATGAAAGCATAACCTCTGTTTTGACCAGAAAGAGGATCCATCATAAGGCGCAGATCCCAGATGGGACCAGCTTTCTCAAAGAGCGGTACCAATTCATCCTCGTACAAGTCTCGGGGGATCTTGCCAACAAAAACCTTAAAACAAAACAAAAAGAGGACACCTAAATAAAAATACAAAAAATACAAACTTGCTTTTAATATTTGAAAGCTCCCTGCAAAGTAAATACATTGCAGCATAAACCATCTCAGCAGAAATACTGTAGACTTAATTGTGGACAATATTATTGTATTTCCTACCAAGTTTTCTAAACCTCCCACTACAGTACTAGGTTTTGCATATGAAAAATGTGAATTTGTTATTTATAATTAAAAGGTCAAATTTCTACAACTGAAGAGGCAGATGGGCCCTACTGGTCTAATTTTGGCAATTAATAAGAAAAACCTTACAGCTTATCTAGTAAAGTCTCCTAAATTACCCCCCAGCCAAAGCACTTCCTTGTTCTTTCAGTTTTCCCAAACAAACTCCTAGTCCAACCTTGATTAGAGAATTACAGATGTGGCAAATTCTACAAACATCCTTAGTAAGCTGCCCCAGTGGTAATTTTCAAATATACACTGTGATATTATTTCTAGTCTGAATTTCTATTTCAACTTACACCAACTGATTCTTATCATATTTGCCTGAAAATCTGGAGTCCTCATATTTTTGTTCCTTATGTAGAGCGATGACTAGTCACGTTCGTTCAAGTTTTTGTTAAGGAGTTTAATCGGTTCAGCTGAGGTCTCACTAGAAAAGATTTTTCAACTGTTTAAACACTATAGCTCTTCTCTGAATTCTCAGTTTTTTTGAATTGCTGATACAAGTAAGTTTTACAAAAAAATCCCAGTAAGACTAAATTCTATTATATTTAAATCACATGCTCTTTGAGTGACTCTTCCCTAGAGCATTAGTTTTGTTACCATGGCTGCCAAAGATGGATTATTTTAAGAGCTGGTTGAACTGAAAATATGGAAGTTCTCTTTAGCTCAAGATTCAGAAGGACTTTACAGATTATTGGTTTTCAATAATTCATTTCTCTAAAATATTTTAATTAAAATTTGCAAAATAGACACTTCTATCCACTTGAGCTAGAGACAAGCTAATAGTAATTTCCCCAGTGTTTACAGACACTTGCTAGATTGACTGTTTTAACTACTGTCAATACTGCTTACATGACACCGGGTTTTATCTAACTGAGGTACTACCTCAGTTTACCCAAGCTTCAGTCCAAGCTGACTAAAGACACACACA